CCCGGCGATAAGCCCTGGCCGCGCCGCGCGACGGAGCCTGGCGCCGCGCGGTGCCAGCGCCACTGCTTGCCGCGGGGCACGGGGGGCGCCCCTGTCATCGCGGTAGCCGGGACGAAAGCGAAAAAAAAATGTATTTATAGCGTGTCCAAAGTCGTGGGAAAGCACGGGGAACAATTTTCGAAATGCCTGGATCAAACGGACTCCGTGATGTGCGGTATATTTATTGAATGATTTGGGGCATTCTGATACCAAAGTGTTTTGAGCGTACATAAGCTCACAAAGAAAATTCTTCGTAATTTACGAAATATTTCTTCGTCTTACAAAACTAAATAGTTTGTTCCTTACATATCCTCAAAATACAACGCAAAGCTTTTAAGCCTGGGTGATACGTGAAATGCTTTACAGTTTCTCAGAGTGTGCTCGTATTTTTCTGCTCTGCGCCAGGCTCTTTGATCAGACAGAGTATGTTTTCCTTGGACAGGAACAGGGCGAAGAAGATCGAGCGAATTATAGGCAGCGTGCCTTTCTCACCCTCACGACGTACCTAGCATGGTACACACACACACACACACACACACTGGCACGCACGCACGTACACACATGCACGGAGATCACAAACTCACACCAGGCTAATTACAGGCAATTAAAGGCGACTGGCCGTGCCGTGCTGTAAGCCAGCCAACCTACGCCTATACTGGGCTGTCTATGGGTGCCTTTTGAACGGGCAGAAACGGATAAAACGAAAGACGAGCTGGGTCCAGCTAGCTGAGAAATATGCAAGCAGATCCTGTGTGTCACTGATGTTTGGAGGAGGGAGTGTCGTAGTGACTTGACTTCGCGCTGACAAACAGGACAGACTGTCACTCTGACAAACTGTCACTCTGAAAAACAGGCTGTCACTCTGAAAAACAGGCTGTCACTCTGTCGAATACTGTCACTCAGACAAACAGAATACCAGCGACGAACAGACTGTGCATTTCTAACGAAAAGACTGTGTCTATCTGAGAAACAGAACGCCGCTCTGCGACGAACAGACTGTGTCTCTGACGAACGGGCTCAGTCTCGACAAACAGACCGTCACTCTGACGAACAGACCGTCACTCTGACAAACAGACCGTCGAACAGACGAACGCGCTGCCTCAGTCGGTCAGGCCGTCCCTGACGGACGGTCGGACGGGCTCACGTCAATGCCACACGTGGGTATAGGGCACGCTGGCACGCTGGCCCCGGGTCCAAGGCAGGCCGAGGCGGGCCCAGTCAGGCCGAGGAGGGATGAGAATTTTTCGGGTACGGCTTGGCGCGGCTTGGCGGGCAGCGGGCGGGTACGCTGGCGCGGCCGGGTGGAGGATCAACCGTCACGCGATTGCCAGCGGGCCGACGCCGAACCGAGTCGCTCTGTCTCCGTCGCACTCGTGGGGGCGTCGCGTGCGGTGCGAGAGAGACAGAGCGACACGCCGTGTTCCGAATCGGACTACAGCTGCACTCGGAGGGCGGGAACGGGACGCGGGGGGGGGGGGGGGGGTACACGCGAAATAGAAGCAGCGCTAGAACCTCGCGCCGCGACCCGCCTTGGCCTCCGAACACGTTCTCTTCTCGCTCGCTGCGGCGCTGCGGCTCTCGGCACGCAATTGTTTTTGGATTCGTGCTGCTCGAGCAACTGGCGCCCCGCCACGCCCCACCCCGCCACGCCTTGCCACGCCCGAGGCCCGGCGCGGTGCAGCTCGACAGGTTGAGTCCTCATGCAGGTGGCGCACGTGGAGAAATCAGCGTGTCTTCAGAGAACATCCTGCCACATACGCCGAACATACAAACATACAGACAGGCCAAGACAGGCAGACAGATAGACAGACAGACACGAAAAAGTGGGCCTCTTGAGCATTCAATTATTAAATTTGACTAGTTTTACCAGGTGTTATCTCCTCTCTTCTTTTTTTGCATTTTTGTGCGGTCGGAAGGCAAAGTGGGCAGATACGTGTTGCGTCTCTATTACCGCGCCGAAACAAATTTTATCCGGTCTGAGGCCGCCGCATTGTTGACGTGAAATTATGCATAAACGGAAGGGCTATCCGGTGAGCGCCACGCCAACAGCACCAGCAGGCCGCCGCGGGACGGGCAGCACCGGCCAGCGCGGCCAGCGCGGCCACGAAACGCAGAGGACCGTGTACGACACGCACTGGACGACCCAAGAAACGCGAAAAAAAATTCCCTCAAAATATTAAAAATAAAACTGTTTTTTTTTTTTTTTTAGAAAAAATTCAGTTTTGTATGGTATGGTGATTTTGTGGGTGTGGGTAGATTTCGTCGAAAGCACAGCTCTCTGCCAAATTAGTTTCTCTGCCAAAATTTTAAAAAAAAGTTCAAAAAGTTAGGACTTTTACCTTTTTCCAGTGATTGAATGAGGGCTTTTTAAAATGTTTGCTGTGACGAAGATGAAATCCGCACCCGTTTGTGAGCTGAAAATCACAGCTACTGCCGTGCATGGCTCCCCTTTGAGGGACACACTTCGTGGCGTGCCTCCATATTCTTGGGGGAATCTCATGATGCACAACACACGCACACACAGACTCACTCACACACACTCACTCACTCTCTCACACACGCACACAGACGCGACAGGGAAAAACAAACACGCGTGACGTCCGGCACGCGCGGGCACACACGCATAGAGCCACTTATGCATTTTGTCAAATTGACGAAATAAGTGTCATTACTGTATGGAACGTGGGGCCCACAACACCAGAGGAGAGAGAGAGATGGAGGGAGAGGGAATAAGTAGGTCGTAACCCTCATCCCTCGATGATAAGCTCCGAAGCTTTCAGGGTCATTCTCAACGAGGGAAAAAGAACGGGAGGAGGACATGGCTTTCCTTTCGTACACAGCAGTCTAAACGTTAACTGTTGTTTGTGTAGGTTTGTAGGTGTATTGTCGAGGAGTCATTCGTGTGTTCACGACACGTCGAAACAGGTCCAAAGTGAACAAGGGAGACATGATAAAAACTCTAGTAAAGTAAATCATTTTTTAAAAAACAAAAACTTTTTCTTTAGAAAGAAATTGAATTTTCAGGTTAGTTTTTTGTTTTCATTAATTTTAAGTTTAATTTCGAAAAAAATTGACTTTGATTTCATAAAACACGATTTTTTTTCCACAAAAAATGATGCTGACTTTTTGGTTGTGTTGACTGATGCGGGTGGCGTCGTCAGAGGCGTCAGTGATTGACAGCTGCTCTGTGCGGTCCGGTGCCCCACTGGTGCCCCACTGGTTGCCTCGCCACATCATTACCAGGTATACAAGCCACCTAGTTTGCGAAAAAGAAGTACAAAGGAATTTAATGAGATAACATTGCGTGACCGGCAAAAGAATGTGACACCGTGCTGCGCAGTGCTCCGCACCACCAAAGAGAGGCCGCCGCGTCACACAGCGCACAGCACCGAAATCTATTGCGGCGCCTTGCCTTTGTCGTCAGAGAATCGGCAAGTGTAAACGACAGTCAACTTTAAAAAAAAATCGGCGCAATGAAGTCCACTTTGGTTTAAAGTGTCATAATGGATTCATTTCAATAGCAATACCTGTTTTTTTAAATGCTAGTCCCGTGATAAAGTGATCGCATTATAAGTGCCATTTGTATTGTATATTCACGTATGCATTTCATGATATTTGGGTCAGCCATAACACCACCTAAGACGATTTGGTCCAAAACGGATGAAATTAATTGCTTTTTTGGCGCGGTGATTATGTTTTTCTGCAGCAAGTGTGATAATTTGACTTACCCTTTTCGTCGCTGCCTGTTGTGTTCAACTCAAGAGATATCAGTGGACCAGTGCGTGTTTTCTTTTTTTCCGCGGATGTGACACTTGTTGCTTGTGAGGTCCCGAGGGTTCCCTCGCGGGACCTTCGGGGACCGTCGGGCGCACGGGGCCCCGCGGGGTGCCCCAATCCCGTTACGAAATGTCTTTGACGCCCCGCCTCGGCGAAGCCTCGCAACTCGGCTCGACCAGCACGGCAGGTACGACTGGTCGTTTGTCCGGCGGTGCCTCCGCTTGGCCTGGGGGCCTGGGGCAAGCATGGGGACAGCGGCGGGGGTGGGTGGCACCTGTCGGCCGCCCGCACTGTCTCTCTCGCACCCCTAGGGCACACGTCGTAAGAGCGAGAGAGACAGCGAGGAGTGCGAGGAATCGCTCCACTATGGCAATCGGGGGGACAGGGCGCGCAGGTGCGAAGGCCACCTGGGCGAAACGTGGCAGACACGATCCATGCGGAATCCTGCACTCATTTCAAATGTTTATCAGTTTGTTTCGGAGGAAATTTCAGGAATACAAGTGTTTCCAAGCACTAGAATACTCTTGACTTTTGAATGTCAGTTAAGGCGATGTCCTCTTGACGAAAGACAGGCGCCTGCCATGCAGAGGGTAGGCAACCCTCTCGACCAGTGACTGTCTCTCTCGCACCAGTAGGGGACGCCCCATGAGTGCGACAGAGACCGAGCGATGAGACGACTCCTCGGGATTAAAACCCCGCGCGCCAAGATGCAACAAAACTCGGCGTGAGGGGACAAGGGGGCGGACACGGCGCGGGCTGGCGCCGGGCGGGGCGGCGCTGGGGGCGGGGCGGGGGCGGGGCGGGGCGGCCGACGACTCCACGGAGCGGAGAACATAATGGACAGACCCACCTCGCCGCGAACACAAAAAGCACAATAACGCTTCTTTATCGAGGCGGCACACACATCCCTATCGTTTTCCCATGCGCGCCGGCTGCTAACGTTTCTCTACCAAACGAAAACTTGTCCTCATTTCTTTTTCTCTCAGTTTGTTAAAAGCTCAGCGGGAAATGTATTCAATATTTTCCATGGATTGATAGTTTTGACGAGATCACTTGAGTGCTCGTCCTCTTTCTCCTTCTTACCCATCCTCTGCGCTGCTGACACATCCCGGAAAGGCTGCGATTGTGTGTGTGTGTGTGTGTGTGTGTGTTTCCGCTCGCTAATGCGTTCGTACATTTTTCAGGCCGCCTTCCACTCTTGTTCCGCCGGGTCGGCGACGGACGCGCGGCGCGGCCTGTGCTGGTGTCCGAGGGTCCGAGTGAGTACCTGGAAGGGCGTGTCCAGGGGCCGGCGCACAGTGGGCCAGAAGACCGGTGGAGGCGGCCAAAAGTCTAGACGCGTTCTGAACTCCAGAGTCGCTAAATGGGACTCGAACCGGACGTGTGACCTGGAGCTTCTTCGGAGAGAAACCATTAGGTTTGGGTCACACGACGCGAGTCCAACCGCTCTGGGCCAAACGGTCTGGGCCGCCCAGCGCTTGGCCCCGGCGGGAGCTGCGGCACACACAAGACGGACGACGCCAAGACTGACACCCAGCAGACTGATTCCGAGAGTCTTTTACGTCTCTCTCTCTCTCTCTCTCTCTCTCTCTCTCTCTCTCTCTCTCTCTCTCTCTCTCTCTCTCTCTCTCTCTCTCTCTCTCTCTCTCCTCTGTCTCTCTCGCACACACACCCGCTGCATTAGTGGCGAGAGAGACAGAGAGAGACTCTCGGACTCAGTCTGCTGCAGGCAGAGGGACACCGTGCGCGGGCCCAGAGAGTCCAGAGAGCAAGAAGCGAACGGGGGAGCCGCCGGCCACACTAGTAATTAGCACTGTCGCTCGGTGTCCCATAGAGAAACCACACTTCTTCTTCTTCTTCTTCTTCTTCTTCTTCTTCTTCTTCTTCTTCTTCTTCTTCTTCTTCTTCTTCTTCTTCTTCTTCTTCTTCTTCTGCTTCTCCTTCTTCTTCTTTTTCTTCTTCTTCTTCTTCTTCTTCTTCTTCTTCTTCTTCTTCTTCTTCTTCTTCTTCTTCTTCTTCTTCTTCAAAAAGTGGTTTCGTTTTGAATGCAATGAATGATGTTATACAGTCAAACAAACCGGCCGGACAGACAGACAGACAGACGGCCCGGCGGACTGTGCGAGTCAATCGGTGTGCCTGATTAATGAGGGTTTAAGTGTTTGTTGTCAACGCGAGTGCTGCCGTTCCATTTCACGCTTCACGCAGGTGAATCCCCACGTGCCTTAACAAATGGCCGGGCCTCACACCCTCACAAATACAGATTCCAAATAAACGAAGCAAAAAAAAAAAAGAAATGACGGTGCACACTTTTAGTCTAGGATCTTAATCAAACAATCGCCAAGAAGCTAAAAAAAACACGAGCAACAAAATATTTACCTTGCAGAAAAGTCTCAGGACAAAAAAAATTGTCGACGAAAATACGGTTTGTCCCTATGGGGAATCGATCCCGTAACTCTTTTCCTTCTTATGACGGCGGCGGCACTAGCGGCGCGCGCAGCCTTCGGTCCTTCGGCGGCGTGCTATTAACCGGTAGCCGCCTGGATTTCACTCCTTTTGTACATAGACGCCACCCCTTCTGCAGCGTCACGGTGCTCTGTCCTTGTCCGACGCGCGCGCCGCGCCGCCGTTTCTCTCCGTCGCACAGCCTTTTATGTGATGCATCTCTGGAAATCAAAGCCCGGCCCGTTCCCACATTATGCGGCCACGCCTTCCCCCCCCCCCTCCCCCCCTCCCCCCTCCCCTTTTCTCTCTCTCTCTCACTCTCACCTGCCTCTACCCCTTCCTCACCTTTTACTTTTCCAGCTGATCGGAACCACGCGGTTCGAAATTGCATTGTTTGTTGAGTAGCTGGCAGAAATGCGCAGAGGTGTCTGAAGACGCTCTTCTCCTCACTCACACAAACACACACACACACACACACACACCTGCACTCGGTCGCACCGCAGCCCCCGACTGAAGGGTTCCCGCCGCTTCCCCGAATCCGGCGCCTTTTTCTGGGAATCACCCGAACCATTTCGGGCAACCTTTTTATAGATAACGATCTGCGTCTGGATGTCGCCGACTGTTGACCCCACATATGCCAATCCTCGCTCCACTCTCTCTCTCTCTCTTTCTCTCTCTCTCTCCCAATTTTGCCAATTTTGACACCGCCGTACCACAGTCTCGCCACAGCGGCCCCCAAAACGCAGTGTGTGCGCGAACCCACGCAAAAAACCAAGCCGGTCAGCGCAACAGGTACAGAGAGAGAGAGAGAGAGAGAGAGAAGAGAGAGTGCGGCGCAGCTATTAACCAGATTAGAGGCACGTTAACGGCTGTTAAATAGCGCCTGCAAACAATGCCGAACGATGCGAAAGCGAGCGTCCGACGGAGAGGGCGCTAACTTCGGCCGCGCAGTTGGGGTGCCGTCCCGCAGACTGGCCTCGCTCTGTCCCTCTCGCACTCACGGGGCGTCCCGAGTGTGTGCGAGAGGGACAGGGCGACGAAAACGACTCTCGAAGTCAGTCTGCGGCCGATTCACGCTGCACTCCTCCTTTTGTGCTTTTTTGGCGCGCGCGGCGCGAAGGACGAGCAGGCTGGCTCCGTCGCTCCGTCTCTCTCGCACTCGCGGCGCGTCCCGCAGCGTCCCGCAGGGGTGCGAGAGGAAGAGAGAGACAGAGAGAGGGCGCGTGGGGCGCCAGGCTGCCGCCGGCCCCGCCCCCGGCTCGGGCAGGTGGGGAGGCAGGTGAGTCCAGTCCGACGGAGAGGACGGACAGGAGGCGGAGGGGTAGAGAGGGAGTGTCACTGGGCCACTGGCGGCCGGAAGAGGGATAAGTATGGGATGCGAACGGATGACTCGAACGGATCTTGCGATCCGCGGGACTCCAAGTCTCACAGGCAGAAGCAAGGGCGATCGTAAGACTGCGACGGTCATCGAAGAGACTGTGCGACTCAAATGCTGACACTGCTCGGTCGACGATGATAAATTGAAGGTGCCATACGGTCAGTTTTCAAACTGGGAAGGTTGCCCCGCTCATTTTTTACAGAAGTTCAACCGGTCAGTACGTCGATACCGTTTTTCCCCAGTTTCCTAGACAATTAATAAAACTTAAATTGGCTGGCGAAACAGCACCCAATAACCGACACCAACTCCGCCACTGGAGACTCTTCTCCTTCTTCTCCTCACTCGGGTCGGGGTGGTTGACCCAGTGCCTCCCCGTCCCGCCCCGAAATTTGGCAAAACGGTGCGTCGGCGCCGGCATTTTTCGCCCTTGGCGACTTGATCGGCCCGCCGCCCTCCCTACATGCTTATTATAAAACAGCGCCCCTCTCTCTCACACCCACCGGGCCGCCGCGGCGGACAGACGAGGATGGCGATAGGGGGACGCGGCGGCGGCCGCTCGCCGCAGGCTTTGCCGCAGCCCGTAGACCATAGTGTGCTGACCCGCAAAAATGACAGGGGTCTCTCTAGCCACTCCCCCTCGCCGTCCCTTCACACACACACACACACACACACACACACACACACACACACACACACACACACACACACACACACACAGCGAGTGCGTAAGTCGGCGTCCACAAAGGCCGGCCTCTCTCAAAACGAACCGCCCCGATCGGGTCGTAGTGGCCGGGGCCCCTCTCGGCCTGCTCCGCCGCGCTGCCCGCGCTGCCGCGCCAATTAACACTTCATTTTTATTTGTGTGGAGCGCGAGCGGAGCCGAGTCAGGGGGCGGCGGGAGTGCTGGCGCCACTAGCCTCCAGCCGCCTCCGGCCCTCCGGCGCTGGAGTCCAGTCATGGCTCTGAGCGGACCAGCGCGCCGCACAGTGGGCCAGAAGACCGGTGGAGGCGAGGCGGCCAATAGCTCCAGAGGCGGTAGATGGGACTTGAACCGAACGTGTGACCCCTCCGATGGATTGCTCTTCGGGATTGCTTTTGACCCGGCGACAGGAAGTTGAATACGCGTTTCCATCCCCAGGAAGCGCCTGCGCATCGAAGGGTAGGCCAACCCGCCGAACGCGACTGTCGTCGGTGGTTGCCTACCCTGGACTTCACAGGCGCTCGCTGCGCTTCAAAGGCAATCAGACTCCACTCCAGTCAGCTTGCCAAGAGACTCCAGTCAGTTACTGCAGAGACTCCATGCTTCACTCCAACCATGGTGCAATGAGATTTCAGAGAGACTCCAACTATGCTGCGACGAGACTCTAAAGAGAAGCTAAAGATGCTGCGCAGAGACTCTATCAGCGTGCTGCGAGACTCCAAAGAGACTCCTCCAAAAGAGACCACAGAAAGACCACACTAGCAAGAGTCTCCAGCCAAACAATCTTTAATACTGCAGCAGTGAGACTGAAGCCTCCAGCGAGACAACCGGCAGTGAAACTGCAGCCAGCCCGGCGTCCAGGAAGGCTCCAGCAGACTCCAGCCAGCCTCCAGCGAGCGAGGCTGCACCGCGGAGGGCGTGGTCGGACGCTGCGCCGGCTGGACCAAACGCGAGAAAGACAGAGAGAGAGAACGGCTGCGTCACGGTGATATTGTGCGGCGCGAAGCCGAGCGAAGCGGTACCGAGCTACCGCCGAGATGCAAGCCTGGAGGCCTGGAGGGCGGCGCTAACGTGTCACAGGCGGATGGACAGACGGACAGACAGATGGACAGACAGACAGAGCGACGGTCGAACAGACGCATGGACATAGCTCGTGGACTGACATACACAGCATACTACTACACACCAACTGACTATGGACAGTTTTCTTAAGAAATGGTATCAATCTGTACGTTTTACGACATCCAGTGGCAAAATTGTTGCCAGCCAGTAAAATATTTGTCATGAGCTGCCTGGTTCCTTTTTGTCACCAGAATGGTTAATGCGCAAAACTTCCAGTTTCTAGCAAAACTTGTCCGTAGCCTTTAAGTGTGTAGAGACTTTTCAGCGGAAAGTCACTCCAAAACCGTTCAATATTTGGAAACAAAAGTTCAAAGTCACGTGGTTTCAGTTTCTTTTTCTTTTTTTTTCACAATGAGTTTTGATCAAAGTATCTCGCCAGAAAATAAAAATCATTTCATTGTGTCTGAGCAGCCAATGAAAGTACTGGAAAGGAAGGGAGTTGGGACTGGCGTATTAGTTGTGCGTTGACTTCTTGAACTTCGTGAACTTGTTCGAGTCTTCGACAGTCTTCGGCTCGGCATTGGCGGGAAGGGCCAGGGACTCCGCCAGACTCCGCGCGGCTTCCACTGTGGAGGCGCGGTGCTGAGGGCGACAGTGGCGCCGCAGTGCGGCGGAGT